TTTCTCAAATATAAGTGGTCTTGTTTAAATTCTTATTTGGGGAGGCAGTTCAATTTCTGGATGAATCTAGAAAGCTAATTTTTTTGCCAAAAAATCGAAAGGTTTATGAGAGGAAGGAACCAGAATCAGGAATTCAATACATTTAATTTCTTCATGACAACGTCCAAACCAACACGTCCTGAAGAGAAGAGGAGTTTGGGGATAAACAGAGCGTCAATGTTTTGTCACACCACCAATATTCGACAGATCTTTCACCCTTTGACTTGTTTCATTTTCCAAACTTGAAAAAAAACTTTCAGAAAGAAAAAACAAGTCCATGAAATCGTAGGATCTGCCATATTCCAGTATACGAAGGGTCACACACAAAGATGTGTTCTAAAAACAATCAGAAATTAGATAAAATGTTTCGGGCATTGATTACGTTTTAATTTAAAGAGAATATTCAAGTGAAATCATTAAAACTAAATCATTGAAAAGCTTTTTGTTTCTTTCAGAGCACCAAGGACATTATTTATTGAACAGCCCTCGTACGTCTAAAACTTTTCCTTTAGAAAAGTTGAATTTTTTGTAAGAAGTAAGAATTGGGGGTTGAATATAGCACTTTCTGGACCTCACAATGTATCTTTGATTGTATGATTCATATGCAAGTCGGGAATCTTATGTGTAGTAATAGGTTGAGATATCGAACTTACTGTATTTTTGGCTGGAATAATAAAACTATCGAAACAATGAAATATAATTTTTGAAAATCTATTGACAGATGGATTTCTTGATGTAGAATTAAAACCAAGTGCCAAATGAAAGACCGGAGCCCTGCTCAACAGAGTTAGCGCTCGCAAACTTTTCAGTTGGAGGTATAAGGAATATTGGCGGGCGCTCGCCAACGTTTGCTGTGTTGAACAGGCCCTTGGTCGATATTCTCAACTAAATTAGCATCACTACTAACGAAGTGTCCAGTTGAAGTTTAGTTGAAAGAAGAGGAAGAGCAAATGATCTTGTTTTCGGTGTACATGTGCAATAAATCTAGGAACTGCAATGTTTTTAAATTTTCATATTACACTGTACTTATATATTCACTGGTTCTATTTCTTTGATTGTAAATTGAAATGCAAGGTACCAATTAACAAGTTGAATCAAAGTTATATGTAACATTTTATGGCTAAAAAGAGTCTGCTGAGCAACATCAGCTTAATTATGTTCTGTAGTTGGTAATCCATGAATTGACCACTTTTATTCTTCTTCAATGTTGACTGTATCAACATCAAGCTGCAGAACTGTAGCGTTTTGTTTTGGCTTAGACTTTGGCCATATTATTGAAATATTCTTTTACTAACAGGTACATCTTATTCACCTCCTAACCATTTATAGTCGTCTCTACAGTTTAGAATTGTTTGCCACCCGACAACAAATCTTATCAAGCAAGTTTATTAATCTGTAGAAAACTGGAAAGGGTAAGGAGGTAAATAAATATACAGATTTGTCACGGAATATGTCTAGAAGTTGATTGAACAATTCTGGGAAATGAAAAATAATACTTCCTGAGCCGTGCGTAGAAAGTTTTGCGCCGTTATTGCACCACATTTGCATAACGGGATCTGTAGCTTTATGGTCAAAGACTTATCATAAGTATAAAACGATAACGATTCTGTAGCTAAAGGTTGTTCCCCAGCCGTGCGAAGATAATCTAGCGCCGTAAATTGCACCACATTTGCATTACGGAATCTGTAGGCTTATGATCAAAGACTGAAGTACAAAACCATGCATATAAAGCTACAATTCTGTGTTAATGTCTACGTCTTATTGTGTTGTTAAAAATTTCCATCACATTTACTGTGGCCTGTCTGTAGGCTAGCAAGATTCCTTACGTTAAACATGTGGTCGTTTCAACCATAAGAAATTGCAGTGCCTAGTTTTCTTATCCATTATTCTATTTGTTGTCTACGGAATGGATCTTATTCATATAGGATAAGTCTGGTTTTGATATCAGAACTTATCCAGCAAAAGAAATTATAAGGGACAAATCTAATTTACATTTAAAAGTTACAATTTTCATGCATGCAAATGGTTTTAGTGTACCAGAAAGACGTATACAGACACCTATTCTCAATTGCAGGATTCAATCACCTAGAAGGAATTTCATCATTGCAGGTACATGTATATTTACTCAGGTATTCCGTAATAAATCTCAAAAAGAAAGACAAAAAAAATGAAGTGTCCGTAACTCTGAGCCCAGGGAACTCGACCCATTTGAAGCCTCTTCCTGGAGGATTGGTGCGGGAAGGGTTTGGATAAACGTCACCGTGAAAGTAGATCTCATGGAGATTTGCTGTCGCGGTGTTTTATCCAAACCCTTCCCGCAGGCTAACAAGTGAGGAGTCTATACAAGAACACTCAGTAGATACCCACTCCATCAATCATACCTGTATGGTCATTATATATAACAGGTGATTTCGTATCTTAATTAATTGTAGTGTTCAATTCATTGAGATCATTAAAGTGAATGCAAACAGTTAGTGATCAAGCTAGAAAGCCAATATAAATTTCTTTATCATGTATTTTTATTTCTTGTGTAAGACCAATGTGTTAAAAGGTACAGCATCACTGCCAAAAGCACCAATTATAAGCAATACATGCACTTCACATTGAAAAGAAAGTACAATATACATATACATGGTACATTTGAACCTGCCGACTAATTGAAGTAACTGTAACATTTATCATCAATCATAGATCATAGTACAATGTGTTTATCTCATAGATTAATATGCATGTCAAGTCTAAATTGAATAAATATTTCATTATTATCAATAGAAAATAATTTCACCTGTACATAAATTTTACATTTTTTTCTTTTGTTTGGTCCGATTTTTTTGGGGGGAGGGGTGGGTTACTCACCCTTTTAAAACTATTGCTATGGACCTACAGGAAAACGTATGATTCATACTACTGTTATTTAATGACATAAATATTAATTACTTCATAGATGAAGGTTAATTTTTAACCATGACAAGAAAAGACAGTAACCTTGACCCCATATTGCTATTAAAAAAAGATCTAATACTAGTAATATGTCTCCGTGAAACAGTTTTCATTTCAATTAAATTTTAAATGCAATATGCAAGTCCATCTTTTTTGTAGATAATCTAATTTTTGGTATGTTACTTAATAGGGATGAAATACGAGTTTCATGCTAACCGAATCATTTTTTTTTTAAAGGACCCATAAAATTTCTTTAAAGTATTCACAGATTTTGGACCTTTCTTTTAAATTTATACTTGTAAGTTGTCACCATTTCATCCAGAAAGAGTATAATATACAAATGTATTTAAACAAGAGATGTTTGTAAAATACTAATGCCTCCCTCCCCCCAAATTGGAACTTTTCCAAGTCCAAAAGGGCTTAACTCTGTCAAAAACGGTGCGATTGTACCCAAAACAGAACTTGACCAAGATATTTATCTGATAAATCTGTATTCCAAATTTCATTTCAGTATGTGCAACCTCTGCAAAGAAAATGAAAGGAAACTGCAAATAATTTAAATTTTTGTAAGTCCAAGGGGCATAACTATGTCAAAAATGGTGCGATCTTACCCAAAACAGAACTTGTTCTAGATATTCATCTGATAAATCTGTATGCTAAATTTCATTTCAGTATGTTGAACGGTTGGGAAGAAAATGAACAGAAACTAAATAGACCGACAGACCGGCTGACAAACCGACCGACAGACAGCAGCACTGCAATAACGTAATTTTTAATAAAAATTAAAAACAGCAGTTAATTTTATTTTTGTCCCATTTCCACCATTTTCATACTCTTGAATTTTCACATTTAAAAACTGCATGTCAGTAGACACTTTACAGGTTTTTTTTCCTTACCATAAAAAATGTTTCCATCTAGAATGTCAACAATCACATTGTAACTTCAATGCCTCTTTTAAAATTCATAGAATCATATTGCAATGTAAGCATCTAACTCTAATTTGATGATTGTTGTGATCGCAGGTCAAGGTATACATTTAATATAACATATACATTATGGTAGAAACCTAAGTGTCAATCAATTTATCCAATCTCAGACTTAATTTCAGTTGACCGACAACTGTTCACAGACCAACTAAATTAGAAGGCAGTGCTCATTTTCTCCCCCTTTAACATAATGTACAAACAAGTACTATTGCAGCCAAAAATTATTTATTTCTTGATTGTGACATTTAGAAAATATCTAGTGAAAGACATAGTATTCACATTGCAAGTCTCTAGCTAACCTCACAAATGTACCAGTATAATAAATCTCTCTATTTTTTATAAAACTATAACACTTGAGGTTCTACCTTGTACTTCTCTTATAAACCCCGATATGTATATATACAACCATTAACTGCAAAATTCAAATTTATAGAATACAAAAAACTAAACCATTTTCATACATGAAACTCGTTTAAGAGCAAAGACTTGCTCACAGATAAAAACAAAAAGTAAATGCTAGCTCTATAAATCTAATTAGCACTACTTCTACAACTACTGAAGGACATATGTATAGTTTTGTAACTTTTTAACATGTGCTATTATAACAATCTTCTATAATACAAAAAACAAGAGGCCCATGGGCCACATCGCTCACCTGAGCACTAAGGGTAGGAAAAAGTAGAAAATGGCTTTTTATTCTAAAGTTTAAATCCAAAAGTAGTCCCATGACCAATCGGAATTGTTATTTTTTAGAAAATGATTTTTAAAGAATTTTCCTATATATATCTTTAAAAACTTTGGTCGGCCATTTTGGCCCCGCCCTACCCCTGGTGGTAATGATTTGAAAAAATTTGAATCTACACTACCTGAGCATGCTTCCATATAAATATGATGAATTATGGCCTTGTCATTCTTGAGAAGAAGATTTTTAAAGAATTTTCCTATATATTTCTATGTTAAACTTTGGTCGGCCATTTTGGCCCCGCCATACCCCCGGGGGTCATGATTTAAACAAACTTGAATCTACACTACCTGATCATGCTTCCATATAAATATGATGAATTATGGCTTTGTCATTCTTGAGTAGAAGATTTTTAAAGAATTTTCCTATATATTTCTATGTAAAACTTTGGTCGGCCATTTTGGCCCCACCCTACCCCCGGGGGTCATGATTTGAACAAACTTGAATCTACATTACCTGAGCATGCTTCCATATAAATATGATGAATTAGGGCTTTGTCATTCTTGAGAAGAAGATTTTTAAAGAATGTTCCTATATATTTCTATGTAAAACTTTATTCGGCCATTTTGGCCCCACCCTACCCCCAGGGGTCATGATATGAACAAACTTGAATCCACACTACCTGAGCATGCTTCCATATAAATATGATGAATTACGGCTTTGTCATTCTTGAGAAGAAGATTTTTAAAGAATTTTCCTATATATTTCTATGTAAAAGTTTGGTCGGCCATATTGGCCCCGCCCTACCCCCGGGGGTCATGACTTGAACAAACTTGAATCTACACTACCTGAGGATGTTTCCCCATAAGTTTCATCTTTCCTGGCACAGTGGTTCTTGAGAAGAAGATTTTTTAAATATGTCACCAAATTTTCATTAATTCCCAATTATCTCCCCTTGAATGAGGGCGTGGCCCTTCATTTGAACAAACCTGAATCCCCTTTACCCAAGGATACTTTGTGGCAAGTTTGGTTGAAATTGGCCCAGCGGTTCTTGAGAAGAAGTCGAAAATGTGAAAAGTTTACAGACAGACGGACAGCTAGACAGACAGACAGACGGACGCCGGACAAAATGTGATCAGAAAAGCTCACTTGAGCTTTCAGCTCAGGTGAGCTAAAAACCAAGCATTATCTAATTCAATACTTGGAAATGGTAAAATTAAATCCTTACATCTGTTAAAAGAACCAAATAATCCATTGTTAAAACGTGAATTAAAGAAGATATTGCAACATTAAAATGAAATTTGTATACATGCTAAAATAATACTGAGCACCATATTCTGGTTTACAAATCAATTTACAATATGCTGATGGCAAAAGGCACCAATTTAAGATTCAATCTCATCACATTCTGTTTTGTTCATAAATTCTGTTAGTATTTATTTAATTAGAAACGAATAGTTCATGTTTTATTTAACTTTGAAGAATAAGTGGCTTCAGTTTCTTCTAGTTTGAACACAATAAGGTTTTGCTGAACACAACATGGTAGAAGATCCTCCCTGGAAATATGAGTCAATCAAGACATGGATTTCAGATTTCACTCCACATCTTCATCTATGACTGCGAACACATTTGTCAAGTCGGTAGTCTTCTCTTTTTTCGAGGAATTCTTTGCTATAGAGAAAAATTACAATCCTAACAGTTCTCATACACATACAGATGAAAATTAACATGAAAGTACATTAATGAAACTTCACTTTTTTGGCAATTTTTTTTTGCTTCATTTGTTATGCGTATACTTTATTACAGATTACACATAAACTAGTTGCTTTACTGCTTCCCTGTTTTGAGTATTGACTGAAACTTCTTTCACTATATGGAGTTGTTTATGCCATACAAGGTTAACCCTACGCTATCTACTTTTAACCACCACCCCATCCCACTTTTTATATTTTCAAAATATGCATAATGCATATGCCTTTTACCTTTAGTTTTCTTGGGTTTGGTGGCACTCTCCTGGTCTTTCTTCCATTTAGCGTACAGATCAGACCTGTCCAACAAGCTGTCCAGGGCTTCTCGGCTCAGGTTTTCCACATCTTTAACCTCCTTCTCGTGGTCCTTTGCCTTCAGCAGATCCATCAACTCCTGGGGACTCAAGGGCTTGAATTTCTCTGTAAAGCTCTCAATGCCAGATTTGAACCTTCCTGTATTAAAAAAAAAATAAAGTTGTTTTCCAAGTGATTTGCTGTAGATTTATTACACTGAATGCTAATTTTTGCGACTTCATTGTTGAGCCAGATCATCATATAAGGCGACAAATGAACTATTTTATTAATGATAGAAGAGTATGTGGTATGTTTCCACAAATTTACAATTTATTGAAACTGTATTTGTGGCCTAAACTACAAACTTAAATACATGTACATGTATACATCCTTGTTGATAAATACCATATTTAGTCTGAACGGGTTACCTTTATGAATGACCATTTTCTCCAGTTTCCTCTTTGCTGCTGCCCTCTCGACCACCCTCTGGTCAATGGTGTTAGCGGTCACTAAGCGATAGATAACCACTGGCTTGGTCTGCCCTATTCTGTGACATCTGTCCTGGGCTTGGAGGTCACACTGAGGGTTCTGCAGATGAAAATGATTTTTAAAAAATTCAACAGGAATCTTGTATAGAGTTACAGAAAAACACTCATTTATCAGATAGCTGTGGCATTGTTTAACTGAACAGAAACAAAGGAGTCCTATCTTACCCAGTCACTGTCATAAATAATCACTGTGTCAGCTCCTGTGAGATTAATTCCTAATCCTCCAGCTCTGGTACTCAACAGAAACAGGAACGAGTCTGGGTTATTATTGAACTCAGCCATCTGAAAGAAAAACGAGAATCACCCATAAACAACTACTTTGTGAGGAGTACAAGTACATGGATTCATGGAAACATTTAATACTGTAGACGCATTGTCAACATCTTTGAAGAATTTTTATTTTTCACCTGTTCTTGTCGATCATGTATGCTGGTTGAACCATCCAGGCGACAGAAATTGTATTTCCTCAGATAACAGTAGTCCTGCAAGATGTCCAGCATTTTGGTCATCTGAGAGAAGATCAGCACCTGTAATATGAAAAGTTGTATATGTACCTGTATTACCTCTTCATAACATAAAACTGGTCTCCTATCTTCTTCAATCAATACAAACAAAAATCTTCCTCCTGACTACCTTATGCCCCCTGGATTTAAGTTCTTTCAGCATAACGTCCAGCAGTTTCATCTTTCCACACAGCTGTACTAGGTCCTCGTCTACCTTGTACTCTCCACTCTCTGTCAGGGGATACTCCAGCAGATAGGGGTGGTTACAACACTTCCTCAGCTGCATCATGATGTGTTGTAGACGGATAGTCACCACTGACTTGGCTGGGAGTTTCTCTCTACTAAAATCAAAACCGAAGTAAATATACCTTTACCCTCAGAGAGATGACTCCTCCATTTTTTGGGGAGTGCGGTGGGGGTGTCTCTCTACTTCTTATATTTACAAGGCTTACTTGGCCGATAAAGATGCATTTTGTTTTTTTTTCTACCATTTGTTTTTAGTAGACTTACTTGGCAGACATTGATTTTTAATGAAGCTTTTGTTCTTATGATTTTTATTTAAACTACTTATTGGCAGACATTTATATTACTGAGACTTACTTGGCTGACATTGCTGCCTTGCTTTCCTGGACATCACAGACCCATTTCTCCAGTTCCTCCTCCAGATCCGAGTCAGCAGTCTTATCGTCGTCTGTCCCCTCCATCAAGTTGTAGTTCACCTTCTTGTTCCGCGACTGTCTCACAGGTCGGCCATTGCTGTCCACTTCCACCACTTCTGGACCTTCCTGCAAGGTTCAAGTGAAATTCTACATTACATCCAATAAACATCAATGTTTAATTCTATTTTCAGGTTGTTCTCATCAAATATATACAAAATTTTCTAATTCGTGCACAGCCAAAAAATTTTTAATCTATTGCCTAAAATAGTAGCTTACATTCTTTTCCTTAATTTTGTCAATAATGGTTTTGTCAACGGTTGCTGTGTAGAATTCTTGCTGCATGGTGGACATGGGAGCATACACTAACACCTCTTTCTTGGGAGGCAAATTGAGCTCAACATCCTGCTTCAATCGTCTCAACATGAATGGAGTCAAAATCTATGGTAGAAACACAAACAAAATTTTAAATATGCTCTAAGTTCACAATTCAAAAGCTTCATCAATGTTGGGGGTGTACACAATAATTACCTGATGTAGCATTGAGAGAATATTTTTCTGCTGCTCTTCTTTGACAATTTTTTCTTCAGCATCATCTACTGACAATCTTTCTACATCAAACCACATCTCAAAGCTGCAACAAGTAGAACAAAGCATTCAAAATAAGTAAAAGAACAACCAATTTTCATCACTTATTTAAGGTGGAAGATGAATACATCATACAACCTTCCAAGATCATCGAAGATTTCGGGTAACAAGAAGTTCAGGAGGGACCACAACTCTGCTAGATTGTTCTGCAGAGGTGTTCCAGTGAGAAGTAAGCGATGAGTGTTCTTGTACATCCTCAGCTCTCTACAAACAACAGACTGTCAGAAGTTAGTGTGTCAACAAATAACAGACTAAATCGGAACTTAAAAAATTTACCATTATTTGAACAAATAAATATTAACAATGCTGACATTAACAAAATTCATAATTTTGTGTGACTTATGCAATAATCAAAAAAAAAAAAAAAATCACAAACCTGATAAGTCGACACTGAGTGTTTTTGATTCGATGGCCCTCGTCTACAATCAGGATCTTCCACTCATGATGCTGTAGCTGACTCCTGTCCCTCATTGTCATTTCATAGGATGTGATGACTACAGGGTGAACCTCAACCTCCTCACGAATTGGTGTCTTCTTCCTAATTTTGGCTCGATGTTGACTGCGTTCTTCTGGTGTTCCATGATAGAGCACCACAGGTACCTGATAAACATGCGACATTTATCATTAATATACAAAATGGTTTGAAAAAAATAATTTTCTACATTTAATCAACAGCAAGTTGATTAAATTTAGAAAATTATTTTTTTTCAGTGGAAATTATTCTCCATGAAGGATTTTTTTTCTGACAAAAATACAAATAGAAAGAGGAACAAGGCCTTTTTAATGCTAAAGTACTTGATTTCCAATGTTTTCACTAAAAAAAATGAACTTTTAACTGACCTTTGGAGCAAATCTTCTGAACTCTGAATACCAGTTAGGAATGGTTGAAAGAGGAGCAACAACCAAGAAAGGGCCATCAACTCCCAGGTAAACTAGGTGAGATATCAGGGCTATACACTGTACAGTCTTACCCAAACCCATCTCATCTGCCAGGATCCCATTTACTCCATTCTCATACAATGTCTGTAATTCAAAATTCATTACAAGTACACATTCAAGCACAACACATATAATCAAGTTCATAAAATCCAATGTCCTTTGTAACACCTACATAAGTAGACAGAAAAATACTAGGGATGTCAACGAGTACCCGGTTAACCATGTACATAATAGTATCGAATACTAAAATCGGTACTCGGTTACTCGGATGTATATTTTTTAATATTTATAAGCTTATTTATTAATGCATTAAAACATCGGATTTAAAACGTAAAATTTTCAGTGCACTTGTACATACAGTAATTAGGGTTTCCTACTCTTCTAAATGACCGTTATCGCCTGTGGCAGTGTTTATACAGTAATTACCGAGACCAAGCATCTGCTACCTACCTGGCTTTTCTCACCTTCGACTGTCTTCTACCCTAATGTTTAGTTTGCTCTAATTATTTGTTTTCATTTAACATTGTTTAAGGTCTGTTATGTTTAAATAAATTAGATAATTTTGTCCTCCAGAAGCCGTAAATTCTTGAAGAAAAAGACAGACAATATTGCACGTGCGATTGTTGTTATGGATGCATTTGGTTACGTGCCAATTAATGCAAATTGTTGAATGCAAAGATTTTAAAAATCTTATGTCCACCGTTGCACCAAACTACAACATACCGTCTCGTCTAGGATCGAAAAGTGTACGAAGATCGTAAATCCGCTCTGTTACAGGAGAACTTGATAATCAAAAGTTGATACTATACATTATTGTAGCTCTGACGACTTGTCACTTGGACGTTAAACGCACCAACGAGTTACATTACAATAAGGTTTTTTTTTTTTTTATACAAAACCACTGTGAACCATTTATGATTTTATTTCTCGTATTTATCTGGTGAATAAATTGAACTTAAAAAATTTTTTAGATTAAATTTCGTCGGGCACAAAGTGGTCATAATTGTTACAACACATTTACAGGTAAATCTCCCATCAGACCATGTGGTTTTATTTCTACAAGAGTTTACAATGTTTTACAGTTATCAATGAACTTGTTCATATTAATTTAGACTTTACCGAGTACCCGGGTACTCGATCGGAAAAACGTCCGAGTAACCGAGTATTAAAAATTGACCGATTTGACATCCCTAAAAAATACATTTACAACACTTACAGTGCTCCAAGTCGCACTTACTTTTAGGTCGCTAAATGGCGACTAAAATTTTTTTTTTGGTATAATGTTTTACCTTAGAATTTCCGGTCGCCATAAACAAATTTTTCACTCGCCATGATGAAAACATGTAAATAACACAATAAAAACAATGAACTTACTTCCACATGTGTTATGTTTTTATTAAAGATTATTAATTACTGTGACTAGAAATCTTTTGCTAGTTGAAGGATAAATTTTTATTAAATACAACCACCCTTTGCATAGTATATGTACACAGAAGAACACAAGTAATCTGATCCTAGAAGTAGAGTTTAATCAAAATAAAATAAAACTTTGACAGTTGTTAAGACAGGACTTTGCCAATTGTTTATCATGTTTACCTGTTTACTTACTACTACGTATCTTAACCATAACTCAGTCGTTATCAATGCCGCCAAAACACTTAATTATGATATGCAAGCCATTGACCAAATACTCTAATAACAAAGTCAGAGAAACTCTAGAAAGTTTACGACGTTTGGATGCCATTCTCTCAGAAACGTTATGTATATACGTTTCTGGTTCTATCAAACTTGACTATTACAGCATGCTGTCATAACATTACGTGGTCTAAGTCTATACGATGCTTTGGAAAGTGAATTAAAGTATATTTCTTCAAACGTTGTCTTGATAGAGAATCTTGAAAACGTAAATCTTGATCCCGATCATAAAAAGATGGAGGTTGCCAGCCCAAATTTTCTCAGTCGCGAAAATGCGACTTAGTTTTCATTTCTAGTCACAAAACCAATTTTTTGGTCGCAAATACCGTTTTAGTCGCAACTTGGAACACTGCACTTCAATAGATTTATTAGTAAATGATGTTATTTTCCATACTTAATACAAAAAATTATTCGTAAATTAATATTGCTCTTATACCTTCAGCCACTTGTAGCCCTCCTTTTGGTACTGCCTTAAGCTTCCTCCCGTAAACAGAACAGGGTGCTCCTCATTCTTCTCCAACAGGACTTTCTCCTCTGCCTCCCTTTTTAACCTCTTCTCTGCCTCCAGTCTGGCTCGTTCCTCCTCATCTAACTGTGAAGTGCTGTCAGTGCCCATACCAGAATCCTTGTTTACTGGTTGTGAATCAGCAGTATTTGTGTTGGGTGTGATGTTTTCTGAATTTTCAGCTGAATTTGCGGAATCTTCATTTTCTCCTTTTTTTCTCTTTGAAGTAGGCTATAATGATAAATAGACATTTGCTTCAATATATTTTTGCCATTTCAAATTTTACAGACATTGTCCAGTTTAAAAAATTTGCTGATGAAGATTATACTCTATTGACATTTTTATTTTAACATACAGGTCCACTGTATTGATTAGTCACTATCTTTATTGTAGAACACAAATGTATTATTTGAAAGATTTCAATGTGGTAAAGATGAAGATGGGTGAAACACATTTTTTTATATATTACTTTGTTCATATAATCTTACAATATAATGTTGTATACCTTATGATCTGGTGAATCTGTTGGGGTTTTTCTTTTTCTGCCTCGACCTTTTTTACTTTCTGCAATATTTACTCAGGAATTAAAACAATTATCACACTTCAGGAAAATGGTTAGAATTCTAATGATGGCAATCCAGACCAGAAATGTTTACTTTAGTTTTTTTTCATCTACACATACCTGCATCAGCAAACATTTTCCCTTTATATGTAACATTATTTTAACAATGTGTATCTATCACTTTATACATAAAAGTTATCTCAGGACAACGTATTCATTGGTTATAAGTGCTCAATGTACTGTAGATCACTAAATTTTCGCGACACCTTATTTTCGCGAGATAGTCATTGACTCTTGATTAGCGAGACAAAACTTTCGCGAATTGTGGTTTTTGCTCTATATATTCTTAAGGAATACTATTATACGCGAGAATTAAATTTTCGCGAGCACACTCTCTCGCGTAATTACGCGAAATAAAAGTTCTCGCGAATAAAAAGTGATTTACAGTAATTTCGAAGTGGTGCAATTGTGTCTACCCATCAGACTTTATAGGATTTGATAGTATCAAAGTTCCAACCCATATTTATATCTCAACAGATGTTTTACAATGATCTAATTTCATCAATAATTGGTATAACTTTCTGAAGGATCTCAAGGTATGAAGACCTGCACATGAAGATCAGTTTCTAACCTTGAGAGGAGGTGGGTTGGCTGGGGGGATTGAGAACTGACTGCTTGTTTCTACTGGATCTTCTCTCTTCTGCTGGGGGATTCTTTTCTTGTGAACTCTCCATTTGAGCCTGCAAACATAAAATGATGAAAATATCATTCTCATTTACGAAAAGTTGCTCTTTTCCAAAAATTTAAAATATATTTCAGTTCCAGAGCTCTGAATACAATGTCCTTCTGGCTTCATTCTCTGAAACAAAGATGACTTAGACACAACAATCGGCTTTTTTTACAAGGAGCACAAGTTTCAGAAAAAGAGGCATAGAAGAAGACGAGCATTACAATAATAATAATAAAATTTCTGTGGCTACAGACCTTCTTTGCCATTTTCTTGGCGAGTCGCTCCTTTCTTTTCTCGTCCTCCTGTTTTTGTCTCTCCATCCTCTGTAACAAGTACTTAGTGTACATGGTGCTCTTGTTCAACAGAAACTGAAGCTTACTGTATCTCTGTTCCCTGTCTTCACTATCCAGCTGGTCCCATATCTGAATAGAAAGTGAACATTATTCGTCTTAACTCTGAATGAAAATAATTAAGGAATCACTGTCTAGTTTTGAGGGTATGCAAGGGCATCAACAATAGTGGGAAACATGGGATAATTTGCATAACGGGCGAAGCCCGTTATGCTAAAATTATCCCATGTTTCCCACTATTGTTGATGTCCCTGGCATACCCTCAAAACTAGACAGTGATTCCTTATATTTCCATTTTTACTTGAAATAACCATCATAAAATAAATCGAAATACCGTCTAATTGAGTAGATTCGAAATGCACAAGGCCCCATGACGTCAAATTTTACTATAAAAAATAGTCCCCCCAAAAACGAAACAATTTATTGACTATTTATATTTACCGTAGCCAAATATCAACATTAATAAAATAAACAACAAAAGAATTTTAATTGATGATCAAAGTAATCTTGTTGACTTTAATTATATATGTGACCTAGATTTAGGTTGTCGGAAGCACGAATATGAATAGGCACTATGTCACTTCTCCGCCGCCATATTGAATGCAATGTTGCTGAAACGGGAGCTGGTCAGCATGGTCAGGAAACCGATTTGTATGGATGTTATAATAACAGAAGAAGTTGAGTTGCTTAAGAAGTCGAATGTTAATGACTAAGGGACGATGTCTGTATCAGATGATGGAGTACGTGCAGATCCATGTGGCAATGTCAATTTCTCCACGTGGCTGTTACGGAAGTGGTGTTCTCGGACTCGCGAGGCCTCGGTCATAGTGGACAGCGTTGCACAAGTGACTTGCTTTCGAGCCGAAGATAATTCATGATTTATTTTGTTTGTTAAAAAATATATATCATATCAAATTACTTAGTAAACAAATAACATCTTTTTTTCTTGAGTATATTTATACGCCAGTGATATACATGCAGGTTGACACCTGACCTTTCAGTAATAGAGAAATATACATACCACAGGGTATTATCATGAAATAAACAAGAAACACTTTTGTAGTGTTTATCATAGAGAAAACAATTGGAAATGGAAATATTAAATCATATACTGTTAACGTATTACATTTGGTTGTGTAGTCTTTTTAGCACTTTTGTTCTGCTAATTCAAGTACAATACTAATTGTCTTGTACATATACAAATAAAGAATAATTTTATGAGATACACTAAATCAAATTTCCATTCACTAGTTTATAACTCAATTTCCGCTAAATATCATACACGTTAAACATAATACTTTTACAGCACATGCATATATTTACTTAACCCCAACACACTTCAACTTTCCATTTGAAAAGTTCTTTTTTTTTTTTTTAGTGCTGCATCATTTGGTGAAGCATGTTGTCAAGATGGAGATAACACCAGACCAAAATAATTAAGTTATTAATTTGTGCTACCTTTTGTTGTTCACTTTTGACTTTTTCTTCTTCTTTTTCAGCTTCTTGTTCCAAGTTTTTCTCCTCTTTCTCCATTTCACTAGTTATCTTGGCTTCCTTTGATTGTTCTTCTTTCATATCTTCCATTCTGTCTTCTTCTCTGTCTTTCGTGATTTCATTTGAATCCGAGCTCAAGGTTTCATCTTCCACCTGATCATCTTTTCCCTCACTCTTTCCCTTATAACAAGACATAAATGAATGGACACATATTTCAAACTGTGTACTTTTCTAAACTTAATTATGAAAGGGGTACCCAAAATGAAACCCTTACAGAAGTTTTAGAGGAACATAACATATTTGCAACTTGTTGCTCATATATGATACTCAAAACAAACTTATTTATACTCAGTAAAGTTTCTTATAATTTTATCAAGTAACTTACCACATTTAGTGAAATTTTCATCGTATCAGAATTCTGGGTGTTCTTTGCTACAAGCTCTTTAGACCCATCACTAGCAGCCTCCTTGGGAATTGCAGCTTCAGCAATGGGAATTTGAGGAGAAGGTGATTTCAACACCTCAGTCCTACAAGTACAAAGGATAGAATACAAACTCAGGTTCATCCATATAGAAAATTCATCGAAAAATTGAAACACAGGTGGATTGTTATTAACAGCGATACTTAAGGTTAAATTACTCTCATAAAATTCTTGAAACAACTTTTTGCTCATCTTATCTCAATACCATGTTTCTGGAGAGTTAGCAATGAACGATTTATAAATGTTACGTAACTTAACTTGCAGTGTATCAACACTAAATCAATGCACACAATACTCTGATCGTGCAAAATTTGACTGATTTACTTCATTCTTTTCCTATTATTCTTCTACAACGAATACTTACATGTTTAGATCCACCTGCGGACTGCGATGGCAAAATATCACAGCAGATAGCCTTACGAAACGTCCCTCTTTACCTCATTGACTTTCCCGCCACCGCACTGTGGCGCTGTTTGGAAAACATCCGGTTTCTGCGAAGTACGGAAATCGAGACGTGGAAAAATTCAATAATAATCGACTGATGATATACGCGATTAGAACATTACAATTGCATGTCCTTTCCAACGATACAAACTGATAAAACTCGTATCCATTTCCAGTTGGCAGAGAATTGGGAGCAAAAGCTTAAACATTCTACAATAAAAAATCAAAGTACTGTGAGTACTGAAAGATGAATGATTTTGTTTGTTTAACGTCCCTTTCGAGAATAAATTTTGAGCAGCAAGGGATATTTTTCCCTAGCAATTACTGCGACATGGGATCTGAATTAAGGGTGTGTCCCGCAGTGGGAATCGAATCCGTGACGTAAGGTTAGACTCCTTCAGGTCAGTGACTCCAGAGCAAACCCGCTATGTCAAATGGGCGACTGGCATTCAATAAGATATTTGTAAAATGATATGGAAATTATAAAAGTTTATTTAATTTTTTCACAATACATGTACATATATTTTTATTTATGAATATAAATTATTCTTGTACCAAAAAGTAAAGTGTTGTGAATTCTCACTATGATCTAAAATGTTCACTATTCTTAATTTTTCATCACAAAAACATATCAAACTTCAAATAGATAATGCATAAATAAACAAATTATTGTATTGTGTCGCCTTATGACACACGGATGATAATGTCAAAGTATCTAAAGCATGCAGCATTTCCTCTTTGCTAAAAACAAGTTGGATAACTCCCAATTAAAATAAGGAATTTCATTGATGCACATAGGTCCTAGTTAAGTTTCCCTTAATTCTTCAAATAACAATCAGGAACCAATCTCACACACTAATGGGACCTTGTGAAGATTTATTTGTACATGTATTAAAGTTATGGACAATATTTTTACTATCATTCAAGTAAAAAGGCTACCTTATATATTGGCTGTCAACATCGACAGCGTCTCTCGCTATTCTTGTAGCTGTTTGTTCTACCCGTGGGTTTCATAAAAAACGATTTCGCTAAGAAAACTCCCATTTCCTTTGTACACTAAAGATGAAAAAACTGAACTGCTTTCCAGTGCATGGTAACGTCATCGAACGTCGACATTTTTTGTGTGTTGTTTTTTACCACTTTCCCATTTCGGACGCTTGGTAAACTGCCAAAAATTAAGCAAATGCCCTGAATTTTTTCAATAGACGACACAATAGATAATGAGTATAAAAAAGGATAATGTTTACCAATATCTAGGTGATACTTTTATTTCGAATTAATGTGTTATTTTTATTACAAATGGGTGGGGTTTTTTTTTATCGTGCATATGTACATTAAAGCATGTTAATAAAATATTAATTTTTGTCTATATTTAATCAAAAGAATTCAGATACACTAAAATATTATAAATAAATACTTGCTAAAAATTTCATCTTACGACGCACATTGTTTTTCCAAAAAAAAAAAAAAAAAAAATCTTTGTCCACGATTTTAACGGACAACCCTCGTATAATGTCAACTGCTCGAAAAACAAGAGAGAAAGTAAAACAAAATAACAAAATATTTTTCTGCCTCTATTTTTCGCAGAAGACTGACCTAAATTCAGCCCACTAAAATCGTATGAAAATCCTATCGCTAGTAGTATTTCATGCACATGTATTTGAGTACCTTTTTAGTGCACTTTTTAAAGGGTAAATTTTATTAGAGGCACGATAGAGTTTATAAATAGGAATGGAATAGATGGGTAACTTTTGTCTGTTACAGTCATTGTAATTATAGCTGTGACAAATTATTATCCAGTAAGTCGTTTTTGTGTCGGAAATAATCAGGCAAAGTCTTGTATTTTAAAAATAGAATGGTAATAAAACAAATTTTATGGCAAAATTTTATGGACAATGTGTGTATATAATACGTCTTTCGGTGAAATTTTGCATATACGTTTGACATACACTTAGAATTAATAAAAGCAAAAAATATTTCACAATATTAAATATATTTTCTGTACAATGCTACATAAATGCGTTAGATGTCGTCACGAAATCAGATATTGAAAATATTTTCTATTCTCTCTTAAGAGTGAAAATACAGTTTATATGTATTCGCTTTTTTCAAATTCAATAAAGAATTTTGATAAACAGATATTAAAAAATTAATTAAAACAATCAAAAGACTAAAATTGTGTATATCAAATTAAAATTACAAACTACGAGAAAAAAAATAATGTGTTTACTGATATAAAAATAATCCAGAGTGAAACAAAAATGGACAACCATCAGTTATTACATACGATATTAATATCGCTACGGTATTTATAACCGCAGTGCGTGTGTTGAAAATTTTTTAGCAATTTTAGGTTGAGAAAAGAGAATTTGATTTTTTGTAAAGTTATATGTAATAACAAAGAAGGAAAAGTATTAAATTCGAGGTCGTTTTACACGAAAATATTTAAATTAGCGATCAATAGACATATGCATGTTTATCATTTCACTGAAACTTTTCTTATTATCATTAGGAATTGAAATTTTGCATAATTGTTTAATTCGTCCTTTATAAAATGTTGATGAATTTTCATGAAATTATCTCCGTCCTTAATGGAGTAAATGTAATTGTCTCAATAATTTCCGAACAGCCCTCGTACCCCAAACAACCGTAGCAACGCCATACATTTTAAAAGAATAGGTTGAGAAAAGAGAATGTTTGATTTTTTGTAAAGTTATATGTAATAACAAAGAAGGAAAAGTATTAAACGCTTCGAGGTCGTTTTACTTTGCCACGTGACGTTAAATGACGTAGCGATGCTGCTCCGGGTCAAATGACATATGCATGTTTATCATTTCACTGAAACTGTTTTTATTATCATAGGAATTAGAAATTTTCCATAATTGTTTAATTCGTTCTTCATAAAATGTTGATGAATTTTCATGAAATTAACTCCGTCCTTAATGGAGTAAATGTAATTGTCTCAATAATTTCCGAACAGCCCTCGTACCCCAAACAACCCTTTTGTTAACTGATTTAATTGTCGTGATCGTTTTCTTCTCTCTTTAAATACATGTATTAGTTTTTCCAATAAAGCATTGTAAACAGATATTAGAAATTAATTAAAACAATCAAAAGACTTAGTCAAATTAAAATTACAAACTACTTAAGTTTTACTGTATAAAAATTCCACAAAATGGTATTTAAGAAACAACCGCGCGTGTGTTGTTTAGCAATTTTAGTTATTTGATTTCGAGGTTAGAAAGTGAAACAATTATCTACAAATATTTTTCATCAAATATTCTGACATTAATTGTAATTCTAAACTAACACAATGTGTGAACGATATGACTTTTCGTACATGCGAGAAAAAACGAAAAAAAATTGTGTACGAGTTGACTTCTGTATTTTGCATACGAATATACGAGTCGGTTGGTGTACGAGTTAGTTGTAGTTCGGCGTAACTCAATGAATATTCATGAGGCGAGAAATATTGATAAAGGCAAATATCAGGAATTAGGCTTTGTGTCCATCAACGAAGAAATAACTTGAAAGTATTTGTGAACTATGAACATTTTATTTTCAAACATGGAAACAAGACTACATTCATTATTTTGACTCTGCAAAAATCTCCGCTAGGGTCCCCAGCCCAGACCAGCAGCAATAGCCTGTGGCTATATATAGCCACCGTCTAAAAATTCGGGGTGGATGGGGGTCGAGGAACAGCCTGAAGACCAGAGATATAATAGCATGTTATTATGTCTCTGGTCTGACTAAATCAAAAATTTCACTAGCTCCTTTAATTTGATGGTCGAGACCATAAAAAAGGAACAAGTGGAAAGTTTTACTGGGGGAGGGGGGGGGGCAAATATTTGGGGAGGGTCTTAGTGTGGTTTTAATTAGCTGTGATTTTGACATGTCATTAATAGATTCAAGTTCAGAGGATGAAGCATTTTCATAAGGTTGACGTATTCTTTTTATCACAATATTTTATTTACGTAGCGTCGTTTTTAAAAGGGAAAAATTCAACTTACTAAAAGAAAAACAAATTACAAACTCGAAAATTCTATATCATGGGAATGGATGGTGGTGTTCTAATACACTTCTACATTACCCTTTTTGACTGCAACAAACTTTGTGGGGATGAGAAGGGGTCAGCCTTTTGTCTCTCTGACATATTTTCTATTTATCAATAAAAAAAATACATGTATGCAGTCATAATGCATATTTTTATTGATAAATAGAAAATATATGACAGAAAGACACTTTCAATAAATATTTTAAATATAGTAAAGATTAGGTTTGGAAAGAAGTGGCGGGGACAGCCCCCTTTTTTTATTATGTACCTGTGTTTAAAAATTTTGGTATTCAAACAAAACTGTCCTCTACCACCGTCAATGACGCAATTTTTGAGAAAAAAATTCTTGTCTGCTTAAATTTACGTATACTAGTATGTATGTAGTTTTTTTTCCTTTTTTCCTCTCGTACCTCTTCTGATTTAGAGAAAAAAAAGGATTAGATGGTTGAAGTTTGCCTTTTAAAGAACTGGGAGGGAATGATTACAAAAGCAAAATGCCCTTTCCCATTGAACTTATAAATAAAAATTATTGATTTTTTTTGGTTATCCATAATTGATTCACGATCGAAAACTTAGATTCATTATAAATCATGTTAAATTCCCGTGTATATAGTAACTTTAAAGTTAAAGATAGAATTACTAAGTAGAAATGTTCTTTTTAAAAATTATTTTACTTTGCAAAAAAAAAAAAAAATAAATAAAATAAAATAAATAAAATGTAACGTGTCCCATACTAACTTGCTATGCTTTTTAACGCGAGTTTTCATTGGCTTACGTCATTACGATTGTGACATCACGTTTCCAGTAAGGCTTGCGTTGTGTTGTGGTTACGTCTCATAACCACGACATTTGTTGAATAGATCGGACGCATTTATTTTTCTCTCCCAATTTTCTGCAAAGTTTACCTAACTGAGCGAAGCAATGGAGCTAAAAGTTCACAGAATCAAGGATAAGAGGGTAATGCCTCATATGGTTTATTATGTGTAGTAAAATGCAATCGCTATTTATTGTGTTCTTTAATTTTTGTTTTTAAATGAAGGAATTTGATTGTCAGCATCCATCCTTTCACACATCCGTCCATCTCCAGTATATCATGTTGTTATTGTTGTTTCAATAAAAACGCACTATTATATGTATTCCCTTCAGTAGTATTTGTCAAAAATAATCATGCATATTGAACTGTATAATTTGTCATTCTTGGGTGATATGGGATTTATTTATGACATATTATAAACAGATTGGTTATCTCTGTTTGTGAATGTACAGAATTTAAATCTTGATTACTTAGTATTTATTTTAAAAGATAATGAATTAAATACTTTATATTTTTGCTAAAAGAAGCAATTTAATACGGAATTAAAAAAAATAATTTCAGGGTATAGTCAATCAATTTCCTAGCTTTACATTATCCAGGACGTAGCTATTGACAACAACATCCTGTTTTTAAGGGAGGAAAGTCCGATGGCTCGGTATGAGAACGCTAAAGTGTGAGATCCGAGGGGCGGGGCATTATTTTATTAATGAAGCAGTTAAAATGTTTCAAAACAATTCAGTATTTGCTGCTACATTTTTTACTGCTATTGCTTTTTGTTACAAAACCAGAGGTATTAAGGTTAGTTCTATAATGCAGGGAGAGATAAGGGTTAGTCCATTTTTAAAAATTAATTTCTGACATTGATCAGTTGCATGTACTCAGTAATTAAATATAACATATGATTTAATAGTCTTGCACCCACCTATGATAGTTAGGTTAAAAAAATAATCATGCACACTGATAAGATAGTTTCGCACCTACATCCAAAAGACGAGGTCTTTCAAAAAATATATTTTGTATTTATTTATTAGCATGGCGAACGCATTTTTGCGCAGTAGTACTATGACGTCATAACGTTAATTTTTTTGCGCCATAACTTTGGCGTGTCAAATTCGGGGTTATAACGAATCGGACTTTGGCGTGACCATCGGACTTTGGAGTCCCATCGCACTTTGGAGTCCTACATATATATAGTCAATCAATTTCCTAGCTTTACATTATAAGACGATTTATTGACAAATTCCTGTTTTTAATCAATTTAATTTGGGCGGGGATTTATCAATGAAGCAGTTAAAATGTTTCAAAGGACAATTCATATTGTGCTGCTACGATTTTTTTGACCGAAGTTAATTGTTATAACGAACACAATTAGCACCCAGATTTGTTGAATTCGTTATAACTAAATTTTTTTGCCAAAAATACTTTTACTATTGAAAGTGTTCATTGAAAGGCTGGTTGCCCCCCCCTTTTTACTAAAGTAAAGTAATATGAAGGATATATAGTATTGTAAGCTTAAAAAAGACTATTGTTAGTGAAAAAAGTTTGATTATAACGACACACACACACACATACACACACATTAAATAGGTTATAACGACTTGGGCAATTTTCTGTTATAACAAATTAAATTCGTTATCAACTTTTACAAAGTAAAAAAATCTGTTATAACCCTTTCAAAATCGTGCTATGAAACAAGAAAAGACTATTCTATGTAATGCAGGGAGAAATAAGGGAAAAATACTCTGCATTTTTAAAAATTAATTTCTGACATTGATCAGTTGCATGTACTCAGTAATTAAATATAACATATGTATAATACGCTCCCCACTCCGGTAAAAGAAAAAAATAATCATGCACACCCATAGATAGCTTTGTTTCTATGTAATTCAAATAAGTTAATATATTATGTCATGTAACAAAATTTAGATTTTGATTCCCCTGTGAAAACTAAATCGGTGTAAATGTTCTTTTTATTTATATTTTAGAAGACTGATCATCCAGACTCGTTAGGAACCAGAGGTTCACCGCTCTTGGCGCCTGATGAGGTACTGTATAAAATCTTCTAACACAAATTATTTTCTGTAGAAACTAAACTTTTCCTGGAGATAATTTTCCCTTTGATTTCAATTTACTTTCTTTTTTGCAATTAAATAAATTGACTTATTAATTAATTCATTTGCCAGGCATAACTTTATTTGTTACTTTTTAATTTTTCTATTTATTAAGTTATTCCTATGATGTAAATAAGTGATATGAAATGACAATTTTTTTTAATTTGAAAAATATATGCATGTGTTAGAAATGGCTTTTCTGAAAAAGAGGAATGTTTATTAGATTTCTGTTAAAACATGCTCAATATAAGCATGTTACAGAGCGGCATGTAGATTAACAAATATTTTATGAAATCAATATTTTTCGTCAAGAAACTCTATTGAAGTGACGATTAATTACTGATGACATTGAAATGTTCCAATTTATTTTTTTTTACAAAAAAATCACCTTGTCTAAAACAATTTGTTTTCTTTAGTAAAGCATAAAAATGTTCAGAATAATGCAACCCGTATAAAATTACTTACGATCCTTTTTAACGTGAGTTTTCATTGGCTTACGTCATTACGATTATGACATCACGTTTCTAGTAAGGCTTGCGTTGTGTTGTGGTTACGTCTCATAACCACGACATTTGTTGAACAGAACGGACGCTTTTATTTTCTCTCCCAATTTTCTGCAAAGTTTACCTAACTGAGCGAAGTAATGATGCTGAAAGTGCACAGAATCAAAGATAAGAGGGTAATGCCTCATATGTCGTTTATTTTGTGTAGTAAAAATCAATCGCTATTAATTGTATTCTTTGTTTTTAATTATTTTTTTTAATGGAGGAGTATGTTTTCTATCATGCCATAGTCAGCATCCATCCTTTCTCACATCCGTTCATCTTCAGAATATCATGTTGTTTTTTTATTATTATTATAAAAAGCACACTGCTATATGTATTCCTTTATTTTTTCCGTCAAAAGTAATCATGTATATTTGTATACTAGTAACCGTTGATTCCTGGGTGATATGGTATATTTATGATATATTATGAACAGATTGGATATCTCTATATGTAAATGTACAGAATTTAAATCTAATCATTTATTTTGAAAGAGAATGAATTTGATAAACGATATTTTAGCTTATTTTGGCAGTTACAGAATTGAAAAAACAACATAATTTCAGGGCAATTTCCTAGCTTTACATTATCCAGGACGTCGCTATTGACAACGACATCCTGTTTTAACATATTTTTTTTTTTAAAAAAAAAGGGGGGGGACAAACAAAGTGTTATAGTTGGTGCGTTATTTTATCAATGATGCAGTTCAAATGTTTCAAAGAACAATTAATGCAATTTTTTGGTAAAACAGTTTGTTGTTACAAAAATAAGGAAGGGCTATTTTAGGCAATGCCGTCCTGGAACTGAGGGAAAAATAAGCTGCAATTTTTTTCTGTTAATTTCTGACATTGATGAGTTGCATTTACTCAGTAATTAATGGCAACATACATGTATTTACAATACACTCCCCAGTCCTTAAAAACAACAACAACAACAACAATCACAGCCACGGATAGCTTTGTTTCTGTATAATCCAAATAAATTATATTATGTCGTATAAGAAAATTAAGATTTAGATTCCCCTGTAAAAACTCAGTTGGTATAAATATTCTTTTTATTTATATTTTAGAAGACTGATGATCCAGACTCGTTAGGAACCAGAGGTTCACCGCTCTTGGTGCCTGATGAGGTACTGTATGAAATTCTCTAACTTTTCAAAATGTGAACACAAGTTATTTTCTAAAGATACTGAAATTTCCCTAGGGATGGATTTCTCTTGATTTCTATTTACTTTCTTTTTTAATAAAAATGATATATCATTTATTAACTAATTTACCGGGCATTCATTTATTTAATTGTTACTTTTTATTTTTTTTCTATTCATCAAATTATTCTTCTGACGTAAATATTAAAGTGATATGAATGTATTAAACAGTTATTTTTAAGTTTGAAAAATATATACATATGTTAAAAATGGCTTTTCTTGAAAGAGAGAAATGATTGTTAATCGGTTTTTATTAAAACAAGCTCAATATAATTAAGCTTGTCACAGAGTGGCGTGTCGATAGATAGTCGTCATCAAGAATCTCTATTGAAGTGACAAATTACTTTTAACACTGAAATTTCCCAGTTTATATTTATGAAAAAATATTCAAATTGTCTCTAACAATCCGTTTCTTTAGTAAATCATAAATTGCGTTCCTTTCTAACGTGAGTTTTGGTTGTGGTTACATCTCATAACCACGATATTTGTTGAATATAGAACGGACGCATTTACATGTATTTTCTTTCCGAATTTTCTGTAAAGTTCCCCCAAACTAAGCAAAGAATGGCGCTAAAAGTTCACAGAAACAAAGATAAGAGGGTAATGCCTCGTGTCGTTTATTTTGTTTAGTAAACAATCCTTGTTGATTTTATTTGTAGTTTACATTAAAAATGGGGGGGGGAGTTTACATGTCATGTCAGCATCCATTCTTTTACACATCGACCCGTCTACTTTCAATATACATACATGCATCCTATTTCTTTGAAATAAAACTACAAAACAACATGCATCTTCTTTCCTTTATTTCAGTTAAAATTAATCATGCATAATCTGTATTGTAAAATTTGTCATCCTTGCCAATTTTGGAGCATATGGGATTTGATATTTTGTAATCATGTATTTTATATGTACATCTATCTGTGTAAATTAAGAATGTGTTAATTTATATAGGCCATCTATGTACAAATTAATACAGTTGCTAAGTGTGAATAATGTACAAGAATTATGTAATTTAGCGAAGTTTATCTATAAAGCCCTCGCGCTTAGAAATGATTCGATCATGTAATGTTGTGTCATTTGCTGATTTGTTACTTTTAAATTGTTGATATGACTATAACTGCTTCTAGTATATTACGTGTACGTTGCATTAATCTCATGTCATTCTCCATATAAACTGTAAAGACTGTTAATACGAGTTTGTATGTATATATGTGCATGTTCCACAGGGATTTACAAGGACTGACCGTCCATTTTCGATTATTTCCTTTGTTTATATATTCACACTGCTCAACGCGTTATCGGCTATTCGGTTGTTATCGGACACTCGGTTGATAACAATTTTTGACAGGTTAGTAAATTATTTTAAATAAACTTTGCTAAAATAGAAACAGAGAATATTCATTGTGCTTTTTGTAAACAGAAATAAATACGGATACAAAATAAAGCCTCGATACGTACTAGTATAGCATTTGTTAGCCTTTGGAAGACTTTTAAAGTCAAATTTGTTATATTTTGCAAGTTTTTCTCCGATTGGCATTGCTGTAAATAGCCTTTTTTCTTCAAAATCCTTGTTTACCTTGCTTTAATGATTGTCCACAAGAAGACTTCCTCAGAATCTTGCAAACATGTAATTAAAGAGCAAAAATTGCCCGAGTTTAACTTTCAGTATGTTATCGGAAATACGGTTGAATAATGCACTTTGTTATCGGATAACTCGGTTTTGGTTATCGGAAACAAAGGTTGTCATAAATTAAGGGAAAACGCAAAGAAACGACAGAAATCCGTAAGAAATCTAAATATTTAAATTGGCTGGCTCGAAATTCTAATTTTTGGCTATAATATATGCCTCTTTAAGAATATGTATAACTTTTAAAAATTGTGTTTTTTTGGCATTTCTCACTGAAATCTGCATTGACCTGTCTGAAAATATGGTACAAGTTTTAAATTTCATTATGGTACCGAGGTCCCCTGTGTGGCGCAGTGGTTAGAGTGTCTGCTCTAGAGTCGCCAAGTAAGGAGTCGATCCTTACGTTGATCCCACAGTGGGACGTCGCAGTAGGTGCTAGCACAAAAAAGATCCCTCACTGCTCAATGGCCCTATAGGTGCTGAGTATATGACAAATTTTGAAGCTCTCCGCCGGGCAAGTGATGGCGTCTCCATATGACTGGAAAAAAACGTAGGAGGGCGTTAAACAACATACAAATAAGTTGCTGAACGCATGGCGAAGAAACAGTTGCTACCCATTTTGATCGACTTAGGTCAGTCGCCGCTGAGTTTCAAACTCACAACCTTTCGAACACAAATACATTTATCAGTTTGGTATGTACATACAAACAATTTAAACTCAAGGGTGGTTAGGTGAATTTCCAAAAAGGTAGTTAGACCAAAATATATGACATAAAATTCAAAATTTTGACTTTAAATTTTTTTTTTTTTAAATCGTAAATACGGATAAAATTGCAGTGTGCTCGAATTCAATGTGTTGATTGCGCTAATGCTCATTGGGGGGGGGGGGCTGACATGGATTTTGCATTGCTATTGGGTGTTTATACTGAAGCAAAAAATCTCTACCACCCCCACCCCCTTGTAATTTAAAACGCAAATACATCTGTAACTGTTTGTAGAGAAAGTTAAAAATACGAGGAACTGCAGTGAATCAACCAGCACCCCTCCTCCTTAATAGATATTTTTAACGGTTGGAAAATAAGCTATATATTTTTTTTTAAAGCGTTTCTAACGCAGTAAAATTTCAGTCGGTTCCCTTAACTCATTTTTTTAAATATTTTTTTCTGAACCACGCTTTTTGTTAAAGGATAGTCTCTTTAATCTACTACATGTACATATCCATATTACATTGTATAAAAAAGAATTAAGAATTATTATTTTTCTTTAATGTTGAGAGCTGTCTGATTGACACAAGATCACATGATCAAGTATTTAAAATGTCCTATAAACTGGGTGATTCTATTTTAAGTAAAAATATACATTCTTTGCTAACGTGTGACCATAACTTGTTTCATAAAAGATACCTGCTATATATGTGTAACTGTGAAGTGATAATACGATAACATTTGGACAAAAAAAATAACCCGGGGATATGGGGGAAAGAACTTTTTTTTTTCTCATAATAATGTAATACATGTAAACTATATCGGAAGACTAAAGCAAAATTGTTATCATTAATTAAACATGATAATTTATGTTTGAAACTGCCTGAAGCAGTTTCCAAGAGGTTATCTTGAATGGAAAACAAGAAAAATGGTTGAACAGATGAGTTCTATAATAAATTTATAATTATTAATGAGTAGTTCTATAATAAATTTATAATTATTAATCTTATTTATATACATTTATATCAAAACAAACTTTTACGTTTGCTATTTTCAAGAATTGGCAGATTATAATGGAATTTTCCAATCTATTTATGAAGCTAAAGGAAACTTTTTAACCTGAGTTTATAACATACACTGTAAAACTGAAGTATCCGGCAACATCAACCGAGTTGACGATAACATGTTATATATAACGAGACATTTTAAAAGACTGTTTACTAACCTTTAATTTGGATTTTTAATCTCAGTTTGCTGATCTAAAGGTATCTAATTGTCCATAGAATAAATAGATCAGTTTGTTTAATAGAATAAACTAGTTTTGAACTCTAGAGAAGTTAAAATGTGATGACATAGTCCGAAATTTTTGTAAAATATCATTTGAAAGAGCTGTAGATCTTTTGAAAGAGAGTGATTTAGTTTGTGCTTTGTGCTGCTGAAAGTATAATGAATTATCTGTCATAGATCACAAACTTTATTTACTGAAATACAAATTTATCGTTGATATATGAAATTTAAAATTACCCACATTTTCTAAACATTGCTTTTCTTGCACCGAGTGTCCGATAACAACCGAGTTGCCGATAACGCGTTGAGTAGTGTGATATTAAAAGTAGTAGTTTCAGAATAAAGAAATTTGATAAGAATTTTTCAGGGCAGCAAATTATTTTCCTAATCCTACATTATCCAGACGTCGCTACTGACAACAGCATCTTGTTTAAATATTTTTGCGGGGTAAAGGGGTGGGCGTTGGGGGGTTGGAGTTGGAGGTGCAAGTATTAAAATTTGTTAGAAAATCAAGGTCATGGTTAATTGTTACCATAATATGTATGACGCAGTTCAAAAGTTCAAAGGATATTTCACATTTTGTTGCAACAATTCTTTATTGGTAAAGTTTCTTTATAAAATACAATTTTACGAATGAAATGTTATTGAATACAAATTATAAATTTTGCAATACAAATAAGGAATCATACAATACAAATGAAAAAATCATACAACACAGACAGAAAGTTATAAAAATATGAGTATGGAGGTTTGTTAAACTGGTTAAAACATTTTTTCTGAATGAATATAAATTACAGTAAATTATTATTTTTTCTTTATTTTAGGGACTGGTCTCTTCTGGACCTCAGAAGCAGGTGGCGCCACCACCCAGACAGGTGTGTTGATTCTGTAGAACTGTAGTCAGTTACTGAGGTCTAATCATTTTCTCATTATCGATGTATTCGTTATCCGCTTTAAAATTACATCTTTAAAAATTTTTGAATTTTTATAAATATGTATAATGTGTATATTATTATCAAATATATTACTGTTATAACATGTATAATTATATATAAAACATATTTTTCAGACACGTGATAACCCAGATGGGGCCACATCAAGAGGAAGAAACTCGCCTGACCAGGTATATTGTGGCTAACAAAAAAAGTGAATAATACTCACTTGTTTTTATTTATTCGAGTGTATTTTTGTAATTTTACTTTGTATAATTATGATAGTTTTCAGTTATAATTCATAAAATTGTGTTAATTATCAAATGTTCATTTATAGAGTGCTTATTTATTAAAGGTAAAGAGTAAATATTATACTATATTTACTTTGTAGGCTGTACCCAAGAAGAGACGGTGGCGACCATATAACAGAGTGTGGAGACGCGACCAGAAATGGACCAGAGAGGTAAATATAAATTTAATATTATTTTTAGAATTATTCTGATTTCATAAACTGATTGAAACTTTTAAATTAATATGAATATTTAAAATTGTTTTTTGTAGGGTCTGACGTACCCTCAGAAGTCACCGGTATCACAACAGGTGTGTTGAATGATAAACAATTAAACATTCTCATGTCCTACAGTATTGTTGATTAAACAGGGAAGGGGAGATAGATCAAATACATACACATAATTTTAATTTATATATTTCAGAAGTCAGCTGAGCCAGGCGAGGACTTGTCAGAGACCAGAACACCACCACCTCTGGTGTCTGACGAGGTAGGGTACAGGAATATGGAATTCAAATGTATAATGTTTATAATAAGTGGATAATATCTTATGCATGTTGTATAATAGTACATGTATAAATGTGTACAGGTGCAACACTGATTCTCTTTGTTTTGTAGGTCGTTCCAAACAAGAAGAGGTTTTGGACATGTAACCGTGTTTGGCGAAAAGACAAGAAGTGGATACGAGAGGTAAGTTTAAAGCTCGAATTAATTTCAAGGGGTGGGATGGGGCTAGTAATTAAAAAAAGATATACAAGTTTTTTCTAACTTAAAAAAAGTATCAGAAATCACTAAAGAGGAATAGCATTAATCTATGGAGGAAGGATGATTAAAAATAATGAATGAATCAATTAAATACATTAAGTACATGTATGAGGTATAAATGATCACTTATTGATAATTATAAATATATGATGTATTATAGGAGAAGACTCAGCAGCAGGCAGTGCCACCTCCTACCCCGGTACACAGGGACAACCCCACAAAGACACCACCGCTCCCAGTACCCAAACAGGTATAGCTGAGGCTCAGAGGTTCTCCTTGTATTTTAATCAATTGAAGGTTATGACAGAAAACCTTGAAAACTGATAAGTTAAAAAACTACATGTAGTTAAAAATATCACAAAATGAAATCTTTTGACATCTTTTTTCTTGATTACAGTAACTTGAATAATATAGAGTTTAAACAGTATGAACTAATGTTTTATAGCATGACCCACCCCCGTTTCTGAGGAATTACTGGCGGAGAAACAGGGTATGGAGGAGGGACATGGTGTGGGTGAGAAAGGTAAACACAGCACTCTTATCACTATAATTGCAAGATAGGTTGGTGGATGAAATTAATGATTTATTACAAGTTTTTACAAGATAGAAAAATTTCCACACCTTAAATAAAATACAGATCGAAGCTAAGCAAAAACCGATTTCAAACTGCGGTAGCGTACTTCTCCTGTACCAGCATCTTGGATCAGAGAGAAATAATGGGCAAGCAGTTGTATGAAATTATGGGTAAAATGTCAAAAGGTAAATTATTTTTTCATCACTAATTATAGGACTGTTAAATGTGAAGTAAAAATACAATGTAAATTACCATACTTAAACAGTATAGGATGATATTTTATAGTCAATGTCACATTTGAATTGAACAATATTTAACACTTTTATATTTGAAGGCAGTTTTTTTATCAAGCTTTGATCATTATTAGTTTTAAATTAATTATCTGGACTTGGGAAATACCCTCCATAGTAAAATTGTTTTATTAGTGAATAAGTGTTAATATTCCTTTCTCCAATTTCCTTTTAATAGCCCACACCAGAGCCAGAGACGCATGCTACTGATGAAGTACAAGTATGTATCTTCTATCATAATTTCGATCATTGACATACCAGTGTATATTTTATCATACATTAAAATTGTTAGTTATTATCATCAGTTTTAAGAACTTTATATAGATTTTCATCTTTCTTTGCACAGGATCCCACATTAGGACCCTCTTCCCAGGAGACTGGATCCTCTCCCACCACTGGCACGGCTGGATCCTCTCCCACCACTGGCACAGCTGGATCCTCTTCAGCCCCTGATGTCCCTCCTGATGATGGAGAGCCCACCCCACCTGCGGCTTCTGATGTTCCTCCCCTCCCTCCCTCTGACAAAATAAAGACCACCACTGACAGGGTGGGTGTATTTTCAAATTTCTCTCAGGAATTAATCAGCCAAAAATTTAAGAAAAACTTTTGAAATGTTTAAATTATGTAAAAAATACTAAAAATCAAAATTTTATCGACTTTAAAACAAATAATATAGTAGGAAATGTCAATCTTAGCTGCTTTAAGGCAGGTAAGAAAGATAAAAAAAGAAATGAAAAAAGTTATATGCCAAATATTCATTAAAACAAAATGTCTTCTTGTCCAGATGACCAATGGCAGACAGAGTGAGGACCAGACAGAAGGGGACAGTCCCGGGGGTACCAGCCAGACCCACAAGAGCAAGGTAGAGGACCAGACAGAAGGAGACAGCCCCGGGGGTGCCAGCCAGATCAGTGACCTGCGTTCTCCCTCTTCATGCTGCACAGAGAAACAGCAGACAGGGGTTGAGGTATTGGATCAAGTCCTAATTAAATTCAGATACATTAAGTAATTGTTTGAAGGATATATGTCTTTTTTGTTGTTAAACAATTTACTAGTATTTCTTATTCTAGAACAAGTCCACTCGGAAAAGGAAGAGGCCCAGTAGTCCATGTGAACCATCAAAGAGACAAAAGACTGCTTTGGTAAACAAATTTTATTTTGACCGTACTTTTAAAGCAATCTTCTTTACATATCTTGGAATATACAATCCATTAAATTATTCTTCTAAATTGTTATATTATACTGCAGTAATTCTGTTTTGTAGTTTTCTCTGATGGAAACTGAGATGGAATGCCTGATGCAGATGTTCGCTTCCCTGAGCTTGTGAGCTCCGCGCCGGTTTAGGAATTTTTACCTGTGTGGCTTTATTACGACGTAAGATGTTTGTGGTTTGGGTTGGTTTAGTTTTCTGGGGTTTACATATTGTCACACAGGTAAGTGATGCTATACCTCTTTGTATATATTTATACATAGTTCTTTTTTATTTAATCACTGTAACTGTAAATACTTTTGATTAAAGTTTTCCTTAACCTTTCTTATTTTCGATTGATATTTTTGGTATTTCGTTTGTTCGTATGTTATGCCTGTTTGTTTGTTTTATCAGTTTTGCATGATTTTCCAATAAACGTAAAAACATCTACCCTTGTTGTTGTGTTTTTTATGCTGGAACAGATGGTAATACCATACTGTTACTAGTAAGTGGAAGACGTGTACAAGTGGAAACGTAAAGAAAGTGAAAGATTTTACAACACACTTATCAAAGGAGATCCTCTGCGCCAAGATTGATTTTTCTGTAATTATTATGCAGAATTTTGTGTCCAAAGCATTATTTTACTGAAGGCAGCAAGCTGACCCTGAAACTCCCTGACATGTGATAATACAAATGTTTCATCTAACAATCTACTGTGTGATGAGGCACGGCTTCACTATTACTGCAAGACTGTTGAAATCAGACAACTGATAACTCTTTTCTAACTGAGCTGAATGTCTTCTGTCAGTGCAACAGTCATATTCAGTCATTAGTTGTATGAAAGCCATAGCATCAAATGTTCAATGTTAGAGTCTGGTTAAAGTTTGCCAAAATGGACCATACTCTAAGATCAAAGTCGAGGGGTTGAACATGCTGGTACCCAAGGAAATGTCTTGCCACAAGGAATTTACTCATGGAATATGAAAGCAATAGCAAGGACTAATCAAAAAATTATTGCGGAAAAATATTTTAACGAATGGATTACTACTAAAAGACAAACAGGCAGTCGGACTGATGGAGCAAAAAATCTAGAAGGCATAAAAACTGAATCCGATTAGACCAGTTAATTTCTTCACTTATTAGCCACGATTATCTCCGGCGATTATACATATCATAATGAAATAAGATGATGATGATGACATTTTCTGTGATGCCATGGTCATAAGTATACTAGTACTTTTGAGAGACTGAAGCTGTCGGCTTATTTAGACCCCCCCTACCCGACAGGTATTGTTATGATGTCCCGAGTGCGCTCAGAGTTGCCCTTGACTGACTGCAGTATTTCCTTATACTTCTGGTGGTGACCTGGATGGAGTTATTTGTAGCCTATCGCTATATTGATATTTCCAGTCCAGTCTCTTTCGCCGGAAAATGGTCAGGTCTCAAATTGACCTCTACAGAACTGCATTTCAATTCCAGTTATCTTTCAGCATAATCTTCAAGAAATTTAATGCAGGGTCACTTTTGGAAATTGAGTCGATGGTTTAAGGCCCTATACAATTCTTAAGTTTCTAGTGTTTTTTGCTGCAGTATTTCAAATAAACGTAAAACATCTACTTTTTTGTTGTTTTATATGATGGAGCACATGATAATACCATAGTGTTAAGTAGAATACACAAGTGGAAACGTGAAGAAAAGGAAATATTTTACATGTACATTTGTCAAAGGAGATCCTCTACATCCAAGATTGAGTTTTCTGCTATCATTATATTATTCAGAATTTTTTATCCAAAGCACTTTTTTACTGAAGGCAGCAAGCTGACCCTGAAACACTTGCATGTGATACTACAGATGTTTCATCAAACAATCTACTGTGTGATGATATTCAGCCATTAGTTGTGAGTGACTGTGACATACATAATTTATGTGAAGTTTGAAGGATCAACTTTTTAATATTCGAGTGTGGTTAAAGAGTACAAATGTACTCTGCAATAATGGATCAATCGCTAGGGTCTTAGTCAAGAGGTCTAGAATACTGGTACCCAAGGAAAGGTCTTGTCGAAAGGAATTTACTCGCGGAATATTAAATCCATAACTCGGACCAATAAAAATTATTGCGGAAAATAATACTAATACTGGTAGTCAGATTACTAGTAACAGACAAACAGGCAGGCAAACTGATGGATCAAAAACTATCACGTCTTAAATCGTCCTCTACAGAACTGCATTTCAATTCAAGTTTTCTGTCCAATTCAATTCCTTCAGTTCAATTTTTTGCAGTATTAGTATTTTACAGTTTTGGCGGTACACAATATCTCCTAGCTTGAACCTTTAACCTTGATGTGACTTCACTTTGTGTGCCTCTTTCATCTTTCACTGTGGAATTTTGATGTTACCTGTTACTAGATTCCTGGAACTTCGCCCGAAGATGTTCTCAAGGGACTGTTTAGCCTGGTTTGGATTGATACTTGCTTCCATGTTTAGCTGGCTGTCTACCAATGCAATCTTATGTGAAGATTATTTTATACATTTGGCTGTGTCTATTGCCTTCCCTATTCCAGATCATGTCATTTCGAGGTAAATGTCCCAAATCTATGAACCCTGCGTCATTTTCTGATGGACAGTGCCCTCCCATTTGAAACAGTCCGGGCTGCTTAGACACGGCAAGCACGGACACAGTTTCAAGAAACCTGTGACTATACATGTACCATCCCCGGTCCTATAAGTAAAATATGTTTGGAAACCATGCCAAAAAGTGGCCGGAGCACGGACAACGCAAGGGACATTGTCCAAATTATTTTGATTTTATCTCTTGGCTTTTTGTCAATTTTTATAACTATAAAGAGACAAGTAATTTTTGGAAACTAATGTCAAAAAACTGCACGTGTGACTAGATTCGTCAAATCCTGGAAAATTTGGCTTGTAAACGTTACAATATTCGATCTCGTCCATTTGTATTTTCCATTTGTTTAAGAAAATAAAACAAAATAATGATATTCATCTTCAGTATCATTTTCATGTAAAATGCGGAGTCTTTGATGAAATACCAGAATGATATATCTTTAATTTGACTGCTAGCACAACCCATAATTTGAGATATTTATTTTAAAAATTAAAACTGTATTCATATGTATACAATGTACATATATTCAAATTGGTTTCTTTTTTTCAGTTTTCTTTCTTGCATCTGGTTCCATAACTTCATAATTCTGAAAAAAAAAATAAATGTGAAATAATGGGACTTCTTTTAAATGCTCATGATAGAAAGTATATATTTTAAAAAGTGCACTGAAGCATACTCACCAAAACGCATTCCCAGAGAAGCACCGTCAATGCTTGCAAGGGTATTGTATCCGCTCACCACATATCCTCCACAACCCCCCATGTGCATCTCAAACTGGAGAAAGTATGACTGTGGAAGTTGAATAGCCTGATTCATACGTACCCCTACGTCAATCCATTTCTTCATCAATGGCGTGTAACAACACTTCTTATAGTATCCAACAGGAGACTTATTTCCCTTGTTGAAATAGAAAGCCATGTAACTGTTAGGATTGGCATCACAGTTACGAAAGGTTTGGTCGGTGTTATTTACTCTGTAGCCTTGTGTCGACTTGGATTTTGCTGTATTTGCGTCCAAGAAGCCAAGATAGAGATATGGGCCCATTTGTTTGGCATTGACTGGAGTGTTGAATCCACCATTTGAGTTATATTTTACTGCCAGTGGTTTGTTCATGTATGAAGATATCTGCTGCAGTTTTGAGTCGTATTGTTGACCTTGTCGTAAGTGTCGGACCAAAACATGAGATCTGATTTCAAACAAATCATCGACGTTGACGGATACATTTGTGTTCGAGACAAATGTGTAACCAAAGGTCTTATGAAATTCACAGAACACCTTATAGGTTTGGTTTTGTCTGTTGTAAATAGTGTATTCTCCAGTTATTCTACGCTTTGAAAACGCAAGATCTTTACAGGAATCTAAAGTGAAGCAAATAAAAGGTTTCTTAATGCATACATGAGAGCAAGAAAGAGATGAAAATATATACAAGTAACCTTCATATTCATAGTATTTTTGACTGAAAATTAAACTATGAAAAGTATTATAAGATGAAATTATAATTAACAGCACAATTTTAAGAGAAGATCATAATGAAGCATTAATCAACAGCAAACTTACTTGGTTCTTTGCTTTGACATTGAAAACCCATGTATCCTGGCCTACACGAACAGGAAGGCCTTCCTCTCCTCATCGAACAAGTTCCACCATTTTGACATTGTACATCCTCACATGATAAATCTTGAAAGAACATGTATAAAAAAAAACTGCAATACATTTATTAGTTAATTAAGTTTGAATATTCTTTTTGATTTTACATTTCTAAAGCTTACCAAAACGAAATCCAGGCACGGCGCCTACAATATCAGAAAAGGAACTAAATCCGGGAACGACATATCCTCCACACCCTCCCATGTGCATCTCAAAAAACCTGAAGTAGCTGGAAGGAATACTTGGGTGATATCTTGTAGAGACGTCGATCCATCTGCGCATGAATTGGTTATAACAACATGACATGTGGTAGCTGTGCGTTTGGAGTTTAGTATTGTTGTAGAAAAAGGCGATGTAAGAGTTTGGGTTTGCATCACAATTTTTGAATTCCCAATCTTTAGATCCTGCTCTGTATCCTTGGATATTGCGATTTGAAGCAAAGGCAACCGGAAGGAATCCTACATAAATGTATTTCCCCAGAAATGGTGCATTTAGCGGTGTACTGAAGCCGGTATTTTTGTTGACTTGAAAACTTAATGAATACCTGGATTTGTACCGGCTGAGTTCTTCCATTATTGTGCTGTATCTTTTGCCGGAGGTCCGAAGGTGAACCACTTTCATTTCATTCGTGTTTGATAAAATGTTATTTAGATGGAAAGAATTTCCTGAAAAGTCTTTAACGTACGTGTAGCCATGTGAATCTGAAGTAAACTCACAGAAAACAGGAAAGCTTATTCCGTCATCTGTGTATATTCTGTATTCTCCACTTTTTACGTTGGGTTTGCTTAGAATAATGTCTTTGCATGATCCTGCATTGATATAAATAAAAAAATGATAATAAATATTGGACTGTGTCATATTTTAATATGAGTGGCAAATATGTCGACATTATGCTTTTGATTTGTTATGTTTACATGGGGGTGAGGCTTGAATTTTAAACTACCTGAGATTGTTTCCATATCAATATTTAAAATGATTCTATTATTATTAAGCAGAAGATTTCCCCTACATATTCCTTTTTAGCTCACCTGAGCCGAAGGCTCAAGTGAGCTTTTCTGATCAAAATTTGTCCGTTGTCTGTCGTCGTTGTCGATGGCGTCGTTGTTTTAAACTTTTCACATTTTCATCCTCTTCTCAAGAACCGCTGGACCAGTTTCAACCAAACTTGTTACAAAGTATCCTTGGGTAAGGGAGAGATATTTATGAATTAGGGAAAAATTAAGGCATTTTTTAAAAATCTTCTCAAGATCCATAGGGAAAGGAAAGATGAGACTCATGTTGAATCATCCTCAGGTAGTGTACATTCAAGTTTGTTCAGATCATGACCCCCAGGGGTAGGATGGGGCCATAATGGGCGATCAAATTTTTACATAGGAATATACAGGAAAAATCTTTTAAAATCTTTTTCTCAAGAACCATTGGGACAGGAAAGATGAAACTCATGATGAATCATCCTCAGATAGTTTACATTCAAGTTTGTTCAAATCATGACCCGGTAGGGTGAGGCCACAATGGGCGATAAAAGTTTTACATAGGAATATATAGGAAATCTTTTAAAAATTTCTTCTCAAGTACTGCAAAGTCTCAATGGTGGATCAAAGTTTTACATAGGAAAATAAAGGGATAATCTCAATAAAAGAACAGCTATGTTAAGTCATATTGATATGTAAGCATCCTCATGTATTGAAGATTTAAATTTTTTCAAATCATGAGTACCCTTTGGGTAGGGAGGGAAACAATGGGGTGTCAAATTCAAATTATTACAAAGTAATATATACAAACAAAATGTTAAAAAAATCTATAAAAATCTTTTTCTCAAGAAGTTATATGCAGAATTGATATGGAGGCATTCTCAAGTAGTATTAAAATTCAAGCCCCATCCCTCATCCCCCTCCATTCCAACCCCTCAGTAAACTTTTCAATTCTGATCTGATTTGTGCTTTTTCCTAGCCGATTGGCTCAGGCGAGCGATGTAGCCCCTGGGCCTCTTGTAAAATTTTAATCCCCCGTTGTGGTCCCACTCCACCCTCAGGGGGTAATGATTTGAACAAACATGAATCTTCACTATACACCTGGGGATGCTTCCATTATAATATGACTATCATGGTTATGCTCTTCTTGGGAAGATTTTTTTCAAATTAACCCACTCGAATGATGACGTAGCCCTTCATTTAAACAAACTTGAATCCCCTTCATCAAGGATGCTTTCTGTCGAGTTTGGTTGAATTTGGCCAAGTGGTTCTAAACAAGTCAGAATGTGAAAAGTGTATAGACGGACGGACATACGGACGGATTACAGACAGAATGTCATCAGAGATGTTCACTTGAGCTTTCAGCTCAGGTAATTCAAAAACTAATATAATTTTTCATCACTTACGAGGGCCGTTAAAAAATTACGCCGACTTGTTGCACAGAAAAAATATTTGACGACATAATCGGGCAAAATGTCACACATAATATAAAAGAATCTTTACTTTTGTGGTCTTCAAAATTTCATATCAAAATGTTGTACATTGATATCAATTTGGGGTGATTTATTAGGACATATCATTAAGTCACGGAGCAGCAAAATCTTCGACGTCACGGGCATTATAAAAAAAAACATTTTATTTTCTCAACATTTTCCCAAGAATACCTGTACAGACAGTTTAACTTACCTTATCTACTCAGATACACCATTTCTTGTCAAGCTTAAAATCAATAACCCCCTCCCCCCCCCCCCTTTTAAAAAAAAAACAGACAAACAAACAAAACATAAAAATTATTCTTTTTTTGTTTTAAAATCAAAAACTGCTGGTACTTATTAGACGTAGTGTGACATTGGTGACTCTCAATCACGTTCTTTACAGTCCCGATATAGTTTTCGTCGATAATTTTACGTCCTCCCGTATAGCTTTTTTACAGAGGTATAACGGTTTAAAATTCAATTTTGCTATTAGTAGATAAATGTCACGAATACCCTAGCTAGTTTACTACATGTTTTATTATACATATTTTGGATCTATGTTAGCGATATCTCGAGCATTACACATAATTTAACAAAAAGGTTGTGCTCCGTCAATTCAGGAAACGTCATTTTCACGGTCATTTTCACAGACATTGCATTGGAGAAAAATCATTATATTTCTATTAGTACTTCAAATATCACCTCAGAAATCTTAAAGCTTAATAATAGAATAATATAAAGATACATTTGAGAAAATTGTAGAAAAATATCGCGAATTATAGAAAATTACTGAGTTTAATTTTGCAGTCCGCATGTTTTTGTTTTAAAATTTTTGTCGTGCTCCGTACCTCTCCATCAGCGGTATCAACACAGCGATAATTTTAGGTGATTTTTTTTTTTAAATAGATAAATTTGGCAAAAAGTACATTGGAATCTTTGAGATACATATTTCTGTGAAATTTCATTACTATATGACGCCTGGAAGAGTAAATAATAGCAGAGTCCGCGTAATTTTTGAACGGCCCTCCTAATTTTATTTTACCAGTTCGTGTAGACCTTGCCTTATTTCGAAAAAATTGCCTTGTTGTTGTTTTGAAGACTACAATAAGTATACTTGCTTACTCATCCCGGACGACCCATGAGGCCGTTCAACAAAGAACAATAAGTATGACAAGGGGAGAAATCTGGTGATTGGTGATCAAAGTAATACAATTATATAGTAATACATAAAAAATTGTTCTTAACAATAGCAGTTTTGATAAATCATATTTATATGATTTTCATCATCTTCAGGTTGTATAGATTCAAATTTGTTAAAATCATGACTCCGAGGGTAGGGTGGGGAGATGATATATGCTCAAAGTCCTACATATGAATAGATAAAAAATAAAGATCAGTAGGACCATAGGTACTGGTAACCTTTACTGCATTGTACATAAGTGAGCGTTGTGGCCTTTGGGCCTCTTGTTAGTAAATCAGTGCCTCGTGAAGATGATGCATAAGTGCAAGTCTGTGTGATAAGCACTCAAACAACAAGCATATTCTTTATAAAAAAGATACAAAGCAGCCTGAATTTATTATTCTTCCCCAAATCTATACGTGTACTGTATTTTTATATCTAAATAAAACTCAATGATAAAACACGATAAAACAGTAATAAACACCAACTGATTTGAACCTCAATGTAAAAACAATAATAAGAAAATAATATCAAATCCCCACTTTCTCCAGAATTTGGCTAATAAAAACCTTTAATTAAAACGTATCATAATTGTGACAATTGCAATTCATTCAAATACTAATTTTCGCCTACAAAATGTAATATCCGTATCAATAATGATGAATAAAATGCTTTGAAATCATGATAAGAGCGAAGAAAAAAAATCACATCAAAGTTCTCCAAGAATGTTAAAAATACCATTATAAAATTACTTACTGGGCTTGCACAAATAGGCGGCAATGTCCAAAAAAATTAAAGTCAAAAGGGTTAATGTGATAGTCGGTCTGAAATGCATCGTCTTGACTTTACAATAGTCTAGTTGTTTGTTGCTATCCATATAACCCTTATATATAGGTACTTGAATATGGGTAAAATTTGGGAATGGATTATTTCAGAAAATTGTATTATATTTTTTTAAAACACCGAAGGTGGGATTTTCCATTAAGAACTACTATTTTGAAATTGTTCTTTTTCGACTTCTGTCGTTTCATTGTAAGGCGTTCTCGCTTTGCCACTGACGCATTCTTACGGATGTAATAATATTGTTTTGCACGTCTTAACATGACAAATTATAAATTGAAGTATTTGTAAAGATGCAGCAAAACATTTTGTTTATTTCAAGAAGCACTCACATTGACAAACAAACAACCTATCACAAAAACTATTAGCTTGAATGAACACATACATAAAAATTTATCACAGGGATTGGTTGAAAAGTGGTATGTTTTCAGGTTTCTTGTTTTCTAAAAATCCGTAGGGGTGTCTAAGTGTCCAGGACAATATTTAACATTTATTTAAAATGCAAGAACACGTAGCATCAAAAATGCGATTTCATCAGTCATTTCATTGTTTTTTTTAATCGTCGATATTTTTAGAAATATGATCATTTACAGAATGCATTCTCCCAAAATACTAGTATCCATATTTTTTTTTTATTAAAAAACAAAATTTTAAAAATTGAAATTCCCAAAGAGCTCTTATACATTTTCTGGACATGTTTTTCATTTACATTAATGATTCATTCACTTAATAGGAAGTGCAGTGTATTCAGTGAAAATGATGTATGAGAGAAGGTGTGTATTTGAATAAATTAGCTGCAGAACTGTAGCTCTCCGAAAAATATATTGATAGACCGGAGAGCTACAGAGCCACCCATTGAAAAAACTGTATATTTATTGCGCACAAAAAGTTGCGCTTATGTATGGATTAATTCTTCCAAATTCTTACCTCAATTGCAAAAACTTTAGATTTCAAAAAATTCTGTACTCTTCTAACAAGTACTTTTGTAGTCGACATCTATATAGGAAGCGCGTTGGGCCGAATTATCTTACAAACCAAAATGACAGTATAAACAGACGAAATTTTCGATGATCTCGATTTCAGAGAAAGGAGGGCTATAAACAACAACTATAAGGTATGTTTTGTTGTGGAAACAGTGAAATATTATATTAGGAATACACGGTTAGTAATATTTTGAGATTATAGTTTTAAAAACATGGAGAAATAAATCGATAAACAGCGCACTTTTTTGTGTGCAATAAATAAACAGTTTTATTTCAATGGGTGGCACTGTAGCTCTCCGGTCTGTCAAATTATTTTTTCGGAGGGCTACAGATCTGCAGCTATGAATAAATATACTAATATGTTTTCATATGTACATGTTTTCTTATATGGCTTTAAAGGAATATCAAAACAATAATAAAGCCCGTACAAACTGTGAAACAACAACATGTATCTTTATTAACTTTTTAAAGTGTCATGTCCTTAAAATACAGGTAAATAAAAGTTTGCTTCCGCCAAGGGGGAAGAATCTATGTCTCCGAATCATAAGAATGTTTTTGTCTCTCTGAAAGAAAATGTTCAAGATTTCTTTTCGAAATCTTGAACCTTTCCTTTCATATTTTAACATGTATAACGGTGAAACCCAAATATTTATCTCACCTTACCAAAGGTTCAAGTAAGCTTATTTGATGACCTGTCGCCCGACGTCTTTGAAATCTTCCTGAATAGTTTCAAGTTTTGTTAAAATCATGGTCCCTGTGGGCAGGTCGAGGCCAGGATTGGAGATAAAAGTTTGAAATAGAAATATTAATGTGAAAATAGGCTTAATTAGTGTAGATTTAAGTTTGTTCAAATGATGTGATGATGCCCCCCCCCCCCCCCCCCCCGCCGTAATGGGACCCACAGTAGGCTTCCATATACCAGTAACTATAGCATTCCTGCTCCTTTGGAAAACAGTGCAAAAAAAGGCCCGATTACGGACAATGCATGGGATATTGGCTAATCATTTTTCTCACGTTAAAAAAATCCTCGCAAAAAATTTTCAGGCGTGCCAGAAAGGCGTGCGATGTTCGTCTTATAGGCATGGAAATTCTGTAAATCCATGCCGTGTACATTTTCATATATAGAGACCCGGATTTTTGGAAGCCAGTGAAAAAAAACGTATGACATACTATGTCTAGAGTCATTGGATCTGCTCTATGTCAGCAATTTTAGAGAATCTCCTGTTGTAAAATGTCAAAATGTCAATGAAACAAGTAAATTCTAATTAAGAATTAAATGATAATTGCATAAGTCAATTGTAATTTTACCTTCTTTGCACAATCTGAAAAAAGGATATGATTTTAGAATATAACTTTCTAATTCACAGTGATGACAAGCAAAATTGAATTGGGATTAATTTTAAAAATTCCTTGTCTTTCTGTAGGGCATGCAGGAACTGAACGCTTTTCAAAAATTCCTATAGGTTCTGAGCCGCAAGTTTTTTTGATGAAATTATAAAGACTTAAAAACACTTGGTTTCTATTTATATGTTGATGATAGATCAACATATTTTATATTATTTTTATACATTATTTTATATTTTTATATTATGTATATGTATATTTTATACATTCGTTAAAAGCTGGATATATATGTATAGTGAAAAAGTGCTACAACATTACAACACAGAATATAAGAAATATCAGTTTTTATTACGAAAACTGTATATTGATACTCATATTCAAATTATTTTTTATCTCATCTTTTGTTTTCTTTCTCCCGCTCCGTTTCAAAACTTCATAATTCTGAAAAGAAATTCAATGTAAATTACATGTTCATTATTGAAAGTTAAGTTGAAAAAGGTTTTTGAAAGTTACTAACCAAAACGCATTCCCAGAGAAACACCGCGAATACTTGCAAGGGTATTGTATCCGCTCACCACATATCCTCCACAACCCCCCATGTGCATTTCAAACTGGAGAAAGTATGACTTTGGAAGTTGGTTGGCCCGATTTACAGGTACGCCTACGTCGATCCATTTCCTCATCCATGGTGTGTAACCAAATCTCCTGTAGTATCCAACGGGAGACTTATTTCCCTTGTTGAAATAGAAAGCCATGTAACTGTTAGGATTGGCATCACAGTTACGAAAGGTTTGGTCGGCCTCATTTACTCTGTAGCCTTGTGTCGACCTGGATCTTGCTGTATTTGCGTCCAAGAAGCCAAGATAGAGATATGGACCCATCCGTCTGGCGTTTACCGGAGTGTTGAATCCAGCATTTGAGTTGTACTTAACTGTCAAAGGCTTGTTCTTATAATATGATATCTGCTGCAGTTTTGAGTCGTATTGTTGACCATGTCGTAAATGTCGGACCAACACTTGAGATCGGATTTCAAACAAACGACGTTGACGGCCATATTTGTGTCTGATACAAACGTGTAACCAAAGGTCTGATGAAATTCACAGAACACTTTATAGGGTTGGTTTTGTCTGTTATAAATCGTGTACTCTCCAGTAGCTCTACCTCTAGAGAAAGCAATGTCTTTACAGGAATCTGAAAAGAAACATGGACAAAGACGTACCAATCAGAGGAAGAATAACAAGAGGCCCATTGCTCATCTAAGCACTTGGCTAAGATTTGTTGATTGATTGTATGTTGTTAAACGTCCCTCTCGAGAATTTTTCACTCGTATGTAGACACCACCACTTGCCGGTGGAGAGCTGCAAACTTTCTCTATGCTCGGCACTCAGGGTCATGATCAGGGAGGGATCTTTTTCGTGCCAGCACCTACTGGGGTCCTCTGTTTATACGGTCTCAACCGAAGGACCGCTCTCCACGTCCCACAGTGGGATTCGAACCCGCGATATAAGGATCAACTCCTAATTATGCGACTCCAGAGCAGACGCTCTAACCACTGCGCCAAGCGGGCGACTTTTGGCAAGGTAAATGCAAAAATCAGTCATTGTGAAGTTTCAGATAAAAAAGTGATACATGGGGAAGGGAGAGGGTCAAGATCTGAACAAACTTGAATCTACACTACCTGAGGATGCTCCATTATAAGAATATGAATAATCATCACCCATTGTAGCCCCACCTTACTCCCAGGGGGCATGATTTGAAAAAAAAATGTAAAGTGTAAAGTGTACACTGCCTCAGGATCATTCAAGTTTTGCTTTTTCTGACCCAAAGATTCTTGGGGGGGGGGGGGACTTTATGTCCTTTTTAGCCCTCCCCTTGTAAGGGGACTTGGACCCTCGTTTTCACAATTGAAACTTTCCTTCGCCTATGGATGATTGCTCAGAATAATGTCTTTGCATGATCCTAAATTGATGAAAAATAAAAAAAAAAAATCAAATTTGAACAGCTCGATCGAATTCAAATGCTTAAGAAAATTAAATGGTCTTACTTGGTCTCTTATGCTCACACGAGACGCCTGTGTATCCTTTTTTACATCGACAGGATGGTTTTCCATTTGAGATAAAACACAATCCACCGTTGTCACATTGAAGATCCTTACACGACAAATCTTAATTAAAAACAAAAAGATTACAAATGGCATTACCCTGGATTGGACGAAAATAATATTCACTTTCTAAATAAATGCATCATTTTTTTTTTAAATAACATGGTTCAAAACTAAGAAAAGCAATATTTTGTGGAAAGTTGTTGAACAATTAAAAAACTGGTTAAGAAACCATTCAAGATATTTTTATCAACCTTCATGTGTTGATACAAACTGATGTTAAGCTATTCAACTACCACAACATTTTTACCTTGACCTTTCCTTTGGTCTTGATCTCACTTTTCTTAAATTAGTTTTTTTAAAAATCATACGAAATATTTTTATCAAACTTAATACGCTGATACGTATTTGTGAGAACTAATCAAAAGCATCAAAAACGTTTGAGCTTGAACATTTATGTGACCTTGACCTCACTTTTCCTAAATTTGCATTTTTTCTTTGTTTTGAGGAAACTATCTAAAATATATTTATGTAAGTTTATGCAATTATACATTATTTGGTAAAACTTATCTTGTAATAACCAACCT